GGGTGGAAACCGTCTGGTCCACATGACTTGTTTGGATTTACAGCGATAAGGCGCTTGAGAACCTCTTCTTCTTGTATTTGAAAGCTTGTTAATTTAGAGCCGACTGGGCGCTCCTCAATGGCTGGAATACTGTTCAACGACTACAACAAGTATAGCAAATTTATAAGTATTTATGTTGGCTACCTGCAGCAGAGAACAAGAAATAAAGGGAATTAATTTCGTGCACACGGCGTATATAAGAAAAAAAAATTATACGCCAGCAAAAATTATACTCGGTGAGGAAGCCAATTGATTCTCAGTGTTTACGAGCAACATGGCTTATAAGCCCAGACTTCTTAACGGCGCTGTACTCGCGTACTCCGCACTTGCATTTATTTTCAGATGCACCACATCAACATGTCTCCTGAGATCCCCGCGAGAACCTGCAGCGTAATCACACTGCGAACATTTGTGTTCCCTCAAATTCATGTGCACCGATTTCATGTGCTGTTCTAGCTTAGTTTTCTGGTAGAACCCGCGCTTGCACGTCTGGCACTTGTGAGGTCGTAATTTTAAATGAACACTATTAACATGAGACTTAAGATCTCCTTTAGTGTTACCAGTGTAGTCACATTGAGGACACTTGTGAGGCTTCAGCTTCAAGTGAACGCTAGCAACATGCCTAGCTAGTCCTGCTTTCGACTCATATGAATAGCAACAGTGCGGGCACGAGTGCGGTTTGTCTTTGAGGTGCACCCTGGAAATGTGAGATTTTAGATTACCTTTCAGAGAAAAGTAGCTGTCGCACTCATCACACTTGAATGGCTTTAGTTTCAAGTGAACGGCTTTCACATGGTGCGTAAGATTACTCTTCACGGCGGCAGCGTAAGCACATTCATGGCATTTGTAGCGCCTGAGTTTCTGATGGACAACTGCAATGTGATGAAAAAGATGTGCTTTATTTACAGCGGCATAAGCACAGAGATCGCATTTGTAAGGTTTTATCTTCAGATGTACAGATTTTATGTGGCTGTTGAGATTGCTCTTGGAAGTAGCAGCATAGCTACAGTCAGAACACTTATAAGGTTTCTCTATTAAATTGGTGCTGGTGAAAAGGTGATCCAATTGAAATCCTCGGTGATCCTCTTTCATAGAAGCATTTAGACGCTTAGAACGACTGAGGGATGTCCTTCGCAGACTATCAGTATTTTTAGAAATGTTTAACTTGTTTTCTTCACTTGAATTTGGTCCTCCACTTTTGCCCACTTTTTCACTGCGCCTTTTAGGTCGCTCTGAATCTTCGCTCCCACGCTTAGGATGAGGCTCTGGAAATGCTATTTCTTCTGAGCAAATATTATTTTCATTTTTTTCGCTGCAAGCGTATTTGTAGTTTTCGGAAACATGAATGCGATTCAATAGCACACTGCATTTTTTTAATTTAATGCGAAGACGCTTAGAACGTCCAAACTCCACAGAATTGTGCGCCTCTTTCGCCTTAAAAGAAGCCTCTCGCGTTGCGGGGACAGTTCCCGTTCCATTGTAGCTGAGAACATTACAATTTACTGATGGTGCAGGAGTAGGAGAAAGGCGGCCATTATTAGGCGAGCGAGCTTCACCAGCTTCTTGTTCAGTGGATGAGATTTTCATTTCATTTGTTTGACTCTTGCCCTTGGAAGTTGAAGTTTCTGAAGGCGGAAGAGCCATTGAAGCACCACAATTGTGCAC